GATCAAACAAATGAGCAAGAGTGTGTATCTATGTGTGAGATATCGAAAGCGAATCGCTTGGCTATACGAATACGGCGCCTGAGACTGAACAGTGTCAGATGATAGAGACCTATCACAGTAAAGTGTCGACTTAAAAAAAAGTCGCCCATTTCTGTCTGACATAATTCAATCTTCTAGACAAACTTTTGTATATCGAGTGTCAACTATCGTCTATTTCGTGTTCTAGAATAATCCACTATAGAACCAATGAAACCAAAAAAAAAAAAAGAAAAAAGAAATGATCTACTTGTGCCGATAATTCCAATTTCTTTCTTTCGTTCGAAATCACGACAAAAACAAAGAAATTTCCAAACAGAGAGACTTTTCCCTCCACGAGACCGTGTATACGATCTGCGAAGTGGGTTTCGCGGGATTCTGATTTGCATCGAAGGAACCGTGAACAAGAGGTCGACGGACAATTCGAATCTGCTTCTGAATCCAATTGTTTTAGTGCTCTGTAGTATTGCCGTTTTGTGCTCGAGTGTACTCGTGTCTGGCTCGAGAATCAATCCACTTCGTGATAAAGTGTCTGAATCTTGAAAGCGAATGAAACCCATTGTCTGCCGGTGTTTTCGGTGTACACGGGACCTGGGGCAGGGGTGAGACTTGGTTGCATGCATGCCGAGGATCACGAGGATTGCACTCTCGAGTTCTTCTCCTAGAAATTTCACATTTCCGCGTTCTTCTTTTCCCTCGTTATCACTCAACGCTAATTTTTTCAAATTTTAAATTCGACCGAACCGTAGAAACTTTCTGTGACGGTAAAATTGCACAGACAACCACGTTATTCTTATTTAATTTTGCAGTGAAATTTTAGAGAATAATTTTCGTGGACGGGGAAGAAAAAGTTTGTTAGACTTTTAAAGAAACGTGGGCGAATTTTATTGGCGAAAGTGCAATCCTGCGAGAGGGATCCTTGACGATACTGCTCTGGCAATGTATGCGAAACGAAGGCTTCCAGTTCCTCCAAATATACCGCAAAGAAAAGAGCAGTTCAAAGCTGAAACGGGGGGGAGAACACTCTCTGGAATAAAACATGGAATTTTAACCCCGTGGGAACGATGGATATTAATTTTCCACGCTTCTAAAAATTCGAGAAACCTCTTAAAAATCTTCTCCAAATGAAAGTACGATATTTTCTTTCTTAGAAGCGTTTATCAAGATCCATCGTTGAAAGTAATAAGTTTGTGACAAAAAAAGAAAAGAACAGATCGCGATATTATTTTCGGTACGTTTCATTTAATTCATGTTATCACACGAATGATTCATATGATCATATGTTCGAGTGTGTCCCGACGAAGAATCGAGAGTTAATCAGGAATGATTTAGTGACAGCTCGCTAGGGCGGGTTTCGATGGCGAATGATAACGAATACTCGACGCCTTGAATTCAGGTCGACGGGGATGCATACTGTAAGTACAAGGTTTCAAGTGGGAACCTTTGATATGTAAGTATCACAGCTCTACTTGTGAGTTGATAGAGTCGCTGACAAGCGACGAGAAGTAGTTATTAGATAGAATCACAGATTTGCAAGTTATAGGTGCACGTTTCACGGTGGCGTGAACGAGGAAATGAATACAGTCGAGAGCGATTACGTTGCGATAAAGTGGGTGTGTTTTTACCTTTGAGTACAGTGGTGAACGTAATTTTCATAATAACGAACGTGGGTGGTTCAAGTAGTTGAGAAAAGTACGATGTTTGTCCGAGGTGCTAATTGCGTAGTTGGTAAAGCGCTTGGTTTTCCACTAGATCGGCCAGAGTTCGAATCTCGGTTTTTTAACGAAAAATTGTTTCTTCGTTTTCGTTCATTCTTTCATTGATAGTAATGTGGTATTAGTGATTCTAAAATTAATCAATCAAGATTTTTAATAGCTAAAGGAAAAACAGCAAATTACAGAATGATAAATAATTATTTACTGCAAAACAGGGAAACCAGAGAAGATAAAAGTAAAATACTTAGTAAGAAAATTAGCTAATTAAAAAATGCTCGAGAGTGGAATTAAAATAGTAGTTAATCTTTATCGCAACGTACTGCAAGAACGACTGCACCGATTTCTCGAAAAATTGCAGGGATAACGGTCGCAACAATCTTTGTAGAAAAGACACACGATACACAGGGTGAGACTTCAATAAGAACAGAGTTTAGAGTCCGGCCCAGTTACTCACCTTGTATAACACGTATATGCACAAACGTAGAAGAAAAAAGGGGGTTGGAAACCGCGACAGAAGCGGATCGAGAAGAGAGTACAGTAGTAGAGAAGCAGTAGTAGTATTACACACAGTGTATTCAACGTCTACAAAGAGGGGCGAAGAGAGACACAGAATTCACGGGAGAAAAATATACAGCTCCACTGCGAATTTGATGGGCAACGACGGGCAAAAGCTGCTCTCTACATTCTCTAAAAGTAAACACGGTTTTGGAGAGGCTGTGCCACCACACAGAGGTTCGTTCGATTGCGTCGCGCTTATCATGGCCCTCAAAGTAAAATAACTCGACCAACAAAAAACACGTCCATATGTATATCCTTCAGAAAAAAATTAAAAATCCGCACAAATCGTGCGTAGAGATATTGTAAAAAATAATTCAATACGACCATCAAAAATTAAACTTTCTTTAACAGAAAAGAAATAAATATATTTAGCCATCTTTATCTAATCAAATATCCACAGAAATTTTCAATTTCCTCCTGCGATCTCAAGTAAAATTGGCCAAATCGTCGAGAAAATGATAAATAATCAGCAACGATCGTCCGCGCAAGCTGTATTCCATCGACGAACCTCCGTCGACAGGTTTACCAACACATAAACTTCCCCGTATCTATATATATCGGTAATCGGGGCACAGGTGTACGCAAATATAAGGTGGATCATGGTTCTGGAAAGAGATAGAGATAGAAAGAGCCACACGTAGAAGAAAAGGGGTGGGTAAAGCAACGAGGGGGATACTTAACTACTCGAGCTATTGTCCAACGATCGATTTGCACGTGAACAGGAGTACTATCACTCTAATAATAGGCCGATATGCGCGCGCAAGTCCCTGCTCGTGATTTCGTTTACGTCTATCCATAAATAGGGACCGCGAAAAAAAAAAAAAAAAAAAAAATCATATTATTAAACTCTTTTCTCGTTCTTTAACTAAAACACATCTTTAACGTATTACTCGATATCGTCGAATAATGTCCACGGCGATTTAAGTAGAAGAAAAAAAGAAGAGGAGGATTCGGTTAGTTCACGGTGATACGTTAATTTCGTCGAAAGTTCGGTACAGATTAGATAAATTCTACAGAATAGAATGCAGAGTCAGCTGAAAAAGATGATCGTCCGTTGCCACCCGGTGTGTTTCATCGAATACGAATTCGCTCGATCAACCTGTTCACACACAGATAGAAAGCGACACGTTCCTTTTTTTCGCTTTTTTTTCCTGAACGAACCGGGCAGCAACTCGACTGAAATCCACTTAACAGTCGCTGGTTAGAATGTAAATTCAGCGTTCGATCCATTAACAGGATCACCCCGCTGCTGTGAAATTCCAACTGTCCCAGTTGGTTTCTACCAACGATTAACGAGCCTAAACACGGCTCGAAGGCGACACAACTTCGTACGAGCGTGTGCACGCGGAAACAGGCGTGTTAAAGGAGAGTGAGAGAGTGAGAGAGTTCGTGGAGGATTTCAGTTGGTAACTTCAACTTCTAAGCGAGAGTAGAAGTTGGACGGTGAAGGGGTGTCGCGTTGCGAAGCCAATTTCCGATGGCAACTTCGAGTTTAAACAGACCTCGAGAACCTATTGAACTGTGTTATAGCCTGTATCGATTCTTTCGTTGCTGCAGAGCTTCGGGTTGGACTGGTGCATCGAGTAGAAGGTCTGTGTACGTGATGCACGAGACCCGCGGAGTTCGAGGGGAGAGAGAGATGGCGGTTCGGGATTTTGATGAAATTTCAAGGAAGTGTTTGTTCTGGGGAATATTAGTTTTGTTACCAGCTTTTCAGGAGAACCACTTTTTACGAGAGTTTCACGGATCGACGTGTAAAGAAATATCGCGCGGAATGGTGGATTTTCGCCTGGATTGTTGGAGTATGAATTACGAGGTTCGAGTGTTGGCGGGAGAAAAGGGGAATGTTGGGTAGAATATGAAGTTTAGTGGATTGTAGATTTGATGTTAATTTAAATGTTTGAGTTTGCTTGTAATCCTTCAAGTATTTATTTATTCGTTAGTACTGAACGTATCTGCTTGTCATTTGAAAATTTTAATAAAATATATATATTCTAGAAGATACGCGAGGGTCTACTCTGCAATTGAGAATGTTTAAAAAATATCATCCCTTCCAATTTAATCTTTTCAAAAACACGAGATTCTATCAAACCATCAATTACACTACTTTATAGATACCCAAGGAATTGATATACTTAAAAAAAAAAAAAGAAAAAAAGCAACCTTAATCCTTCTTATTCGAACTCCAAAGAATCTGAAAACCCCCCCAAAAAAGGTAAGCAAACTTTCTTCTCATCCTACCAAACTTCATCTTAATCCCCAACGTCAATCACCTCCAAAATCTCCACCTCCTTATCAGCATCGAAAGAATCCACACGAATCCTTCACTTTTCACTCTCCAAGGGAAGAGTCAATCCCCTTCCTCCAATCGGTCACGTAGCTTCCGTTTGCACACGGGGACGAAAAAAAATGGAGGATAAAGAGAGACAAATAGAGTAAGAGAGAGAGAGAGAGAGAGAGAGAGTCACCAATCTCGGTGTATAGCCAGGCCCCGAAACTTCGGTGATTCGTGGGTGGCATAAAACGGACATTAGTGGGTGCACATTCCCCCTATGTATAGGGTGGGACGTGAACCGAGGACACACAAAAAAGAGGGAGCTAGAAGAGAAGATCTAGTAGTATGTGTGAGAGAGAGAGACAGAGTAAGAGAGAGAGAGAGATTAACAGAGAGAGGATTTTGGGTAGTCCTACCTTTCACGTCATCGTCCTCGATCGTTGTGCTGCTGTCGGTCGATTCCTTCACCTGAGAGCCATCGCCCTTCTTCGTGATGATGCTCCGACCTGGAGCACGCAGAGCGTTTCAGTAAATCGACATTTCAGGGTTCGTGAGCGGTATAGTGATTTAGAGATAGAAAGAGAGTGAGAGAAATAGAGCCAGAGATAAGAGTAATCGGCGGGAAATTGCTGGATTTTTCGTATCTTTTTTTTTGTTTTTCAGGGATTAGTAAGAGCGTTGTTGAGCACACAATTGCACCAGGCGATTTTTTGGGAAGATGGCTGGGATTTGGTCGGGGTGGAGACTGGAGAAGCCTCGTTGGAAGGTTCAGGGGAGGATCGAGATACACGCGAGATGTCGATGGAAGATCGAGGGTTCCCGTTTCATTTGCAAGATTGTTTGTTCGAGAAGCTGTCGATTACACTTTGGCTGCTATTAACGTGCAATTGCATCTTTCTTTACTAACGAAAACTTGTATTTTTAGATATTTACGAAGAGCATTTATTACCGTGCAGTTTTGAAAATTTCAGAGTCCAACTTCAATTTCTGAATTACCTATATTCAAATTTTAGTGAAATATTAAAATCTGTCACTTTAATCGGCAGCAAAAGTGCGAGAAAAAATCGAAGAAGATTACCGAGAGAAACCGTGGAGGCAGTGGCGAAATGAAGCACAAGTGCGTGTGTCTACTTCACGAAACAATACGTGAAGCGAAAGAAGATATCTAAGAAGATCGATCTAAGTAGGAAGGAAAGTGGCAGAGATATCGTTTGTCCGATCGAAATGGCACGATCGTAAAGTTTCGGTGCTTCTTTTCAAGCAACGTGAATTATTCCAACTAGCGGAAGCTGTTCTCCCTGGGAAACGTGCTGCTCTCAGGAACAGTAAACGTCGCTCGAGATTGGAACGAAGTTGGTGAACAATGGCGGATGGCGAACGGGAACCAGCGATCCTCCTTTCTTTCCTTGCGCCACAAAGGACGGCGACTGCGGTGCTCGTTGATTATGGAACGTCGTCGTAGAATTAAACGTTATAGCGCGGTATTTTTACGGAAAGAACGAGGAACCAGGCAATGATTCTTCGGGGACAAAAGGGTCCTCCAACGTGAAAATTCGCCAAATTCCCACGCACGAGTGTATCTCGATCGCTATATCGGAGAGTATAGAGCTTGAGTATTTTTTTTTTTTCGAAAGAAACGAGAGAAAATTTAGCTAACAGGGTGATCCTTCGACGTTGAATAAATATCGACGTCTTTGGATCCCCCGAATGATCGAATCATACACTCAATTTTAACCTAGACCGACGTAACGTTACTTCCAAAATTATTTGATAGAATTACTGTACGTATTTTTCTTCGGAAAATGAGACAATAGTAATCAAAATAAATCTATCAATTTTTATATCAAAGGAATAATAAAGATTCTCGTTAACCCTCTGTGACGTCACGTGACTTAAGAGTTACATATTCATTTATCTATTACCAGTCGATTTTTTTAACGATTACCAGTATTTTTAAAAATACTAATTTTTAGTATTTTAATTTTTTCTTCTCACAGAGGGCCAAGTTAAATTTTCAAAAAATCTAAATTCAAATTATAAAATTATTACGTCGATCGGGTATCTACAATAATATCATCTACCTTGTCATTCATGCTCTCTACACAGGTTCCAGAGATTCGTCTCTAAAGAACGAAAGAGACAGAGAAGAAAGAGATCTATAGATCATCGTCAGATCTTTACGAAAATAATCAATCAATCATTCTATTCTTCGCAAACAAGAGGTACTACGATAGTAGAAGAAAGAGAGATGCAAACTTCGATAGAGAAAAATCGAAGATGAAGAAGACAGAAGAAGAAGAAGTAGAGTAAAGAGACAGAGGGAAAAGGGACACAGAGAGAAGAGAGAAAGAGAGAGTGTGTGTAAGAATAGCGAGAGAAGGAAGGTGCGTGGATTTCGCGGGTTTAATACGAACACTGAAAATGGTGTGTTCTGCATGCGAGACAATCGTGATCAATCAATTTCGAGCAGCTCTGCCGATGCTCTCAAGACGACAAACGCGTCGTCAGGTGCCAGGTAAGGGAAAGGGGGAAACAAGAAGAATGGCGTGTCCTCTCGTCTTTACCTTCTGACGGCTCCTCACTCTCGAGAGCTCGGCTTCATTCCGTGCCAGCGAAGCGACGCAACGTTTCACACAGAAAGGTAACAGAAAAATAGGCGAGACGAACGCAAAAATGGAAAGAAAATATGGAGAACTATACACCCATAAATGCATGCTGAGTGGCGTGCGATTGCGTGTCGATTGCTTCTTTCCCCCCTTCGTTTCCAAAGGGGGAAAACGAAAACGCATAAACAGTGTCGAAGGGCTAGGTTCTTGCAAGTTCAAAGGCAAGGCCTGGCTTTCTTTTCGCAATCTTTGTGCAGTTGTTATTTAGGATTGTCCACGCTGAAAGCTGTCGTTGGTAACTTCGTTCGTGTATTCGGTGTATTTTGTTCTTTTTTCAGTTTCCGTTTCCCATCGGTAGATTCTGCGGAACCAAGTGCTATCGATCGTTGTCGATCGAATTAAGTATCATCGGAGTAGAATTAATTTCGTGGCGTGTTTAATCAGTTTCGGTAGGTTTCGAGCAGTCACCGCAAATTGGTACCCACGGACGTTGCTAATTCACCGTGTAGCCAGGAAAAAACGTAACACCGTTACCGGATTCTGTTTTAAAAAATTCGTCGTTTAATATTCTCACAGTATACTCTTCCCCGAAATTATACCCCGTCCCTCGGTGACCCTGGGACCTAAAGAATTCATCAAACGTGCCAATTTATGGTAACTCGCCCACTCCCCCCTCATTTACAGCGGCGTCCAAAAAGCTCCAACCCGCTCGTGTCTGTCGTTCCCCCGCAGAGTCGTAAAAAAGGGAAGGACAACCCAAGTGAAGCTTGGGCAAAACTTTTATTTCGCACCGTGAAAAATTCACGTGGAATAACCCTCCTCCCCCACGAAAAAAAAAAAAAAAAATGAAGAATAAACGAGACACCCGTTGTATGCGAAGGCTTTCAGACGTCATTATACTTTCATTTTTCCTTTCATACGGGAACACAAGTGGTATAATATTCGCGTGGATGGGACCGGGGAGAAATTACCAGGTTGCACGCGTGATTTTTCTCATTTTTTTCTCGTCGCTGAAGGAGAAAACCGAGGGAGAGACGGGGAGAGACCGGGGAGAGACGGGGTGGAGAGAGAAATTGAATCACACACGGGGCGACGTAATTATCGTCGGTTGGAGATTACGCGGACTCAAAGCCATCGCGAATCGTTTCCACGGTTGAATAATTTAGCAGGGTGAAAAAGTATGAGGGTCGGAGGGGAAACTGGATGGAGAAGGCACTCGGTTCCGACGCCAGTATAAATACGCCAGCGAAACTCCTCCCTTGGGTATAATATCCGTGTACTTTTCGGGGGAGGGTTGAATTCGCGCTACGGAAACGCGGCCGCTTTTCATGCAGCCCGCGTATTCTTATCTTCTTCCGCCATGAGGCGATCCCTCCTGTGTACTATGCACGCCGAGGCAACGCGGTTTCGCGGTGCTTGAACCTTTTCTGCGTTTTTTTTTCTTTTTCCCCCGGATCCGATCGCGATGGTTCAACCATGTGTTTAAAGAACGGGTTTGCAGTTGTTGCTGGAAATTAGGTATGAGCTAATTTTCTTCTTTTTTTTGTTTTTTTTCTTGGAACTTGAAAAGTTGCGCGCTGAGGGAAATATGAGTTTTAAGTAGAACTTGGGAAATTGAAGTATTTGTTTAAATTGACGGTGCTTTGATCTACTTTTGCATGTAGTTTGCTGGAGATTTGAGTTTGAAAGTATTCTTCTTTTTCAAGCTGTCGTGTATGAAAGACTTTGATGAAATTATTGTGGGAATTATTAAAAAGTTTTAATACCGTTTCGATAAGAATTATTAGCGAGAGATTACGACTGAAAGTTGCATGCTTTTCATTTAAAAAATTGCAAAGTAGACGAAACGATATAAATAAATTTGTCATCGAAGTCAAATTAAATCGAATTTGATTGTAAATCTAATTTTTCGACGAATACAAAACATAAAAATTCTACAAGCTACCGTAAGAAGTATTAAACAACTGTTAAAAAAAAAAAAAAAAAATAGCCTGTCACAATTTATACGAACATTACACTCTCCAGTCCTTCATTTCAATTTCCTCTAAAGGCACACACAGAGTCTCATATTTTTAACATGAAACGTTACGCAAACCCGAGACGCATTTCGCATGTTTCCGGTTAGACATTCATGAGACACGCGGTGTATCGAAGTTTGCGAATAAAATTTCGACCCTCCGGAGAAAATTTACAATTTAAGCGGTCGGCGGTTTCTGCGGGAAAATCGATCGACAAATCGCCGGTTGCCTCGACGCGAAATAGTGGGAGAGAGGTGTATCACGAGGACGGATATTCGGCGTGAAAACGGCCCCTTTACGCCGTGCTGCAGCTCTGTTGATAAGAAATGCGAGCAACGCGGGCTAGACAGCGGAGAGAACCAGGCGTGAAACGAAATAAAAAAAAAAGGGGGGGGGGGAAAGCGAGGCGGAAAAGCGCAGCCATGCCAAATGCGACGCGGGAAACGATTGTTCGTGCGGAAGGTTCCTGTTTCGAGTTTCGTTCTGAACGAAAAAAGAATCGTTCTCTTCTGTTTCTCGTAGCAACTGTCTCCTGTACCACGAGTTAATCCTAATTTCAAACGATTCTCCACACTCGAATCATTTTTACGCGCTGCTCCTCCGAGTAACTCGACGATATCTACTTAAGTCTATGCAGGGTGTTGCAGCCTATAGTATTCACCGAGAGAAATAACAAATTCTTACACAACGTAGGTTCTAAAATCAATTCTCTCCACGTGAAACGTACTTTCGTATTAATGAGAATTCGTGAATCTCTTTGTTAACACACTGAACGACAGAATCGGTTGCGACTATAGCGGTTCAAGGTTACGCGGCAGGTTATCGCCGATATCAAGAAAATTACACGACGAACTGATTCTTGATCTCCGAAGGACAAATGAA